CGGTAAAAATATGTTTTCCCTCTATTTCCCTTTTTTCCCTCTCTTTTTCTCACTCGAGATGTTGGCGAGCAAGATCGGAGGGAAAGAACCAGCGAAAACGAATGAATGCGTCGCGATCAAACTGGGAGGCAAGTTTGACTAGGGCAAATACGAATACGCGAAGCAGGTATCGTTTAATTAACGTTGTTTGAAATCTGTTCGTACGATTCCGTGGAAAGTCGAGTTCCTCGGAGGTGGAACAAGGGTATCTAAATGGCGGAAGAAACGAAAAGTACTTGGTATCAAAGTGGACGACAAACCTCGACGCGCAGAGAGGCTTCCTTGGTTCGATACGTCCTTTACCCTCAACAGAGACGAGTTTTTCCATCGCGACGCGAAGGCGGTACGGAGACGTAAAAGCAAGCGAGTGAATAGTTGAAAATTACGGTGAACTCGCCCGTGAGAAGAAATGCCAACCTTTTCCGCTCTTCACTTTTTCTCCCCGCGGAGAAGCTTCCAATCCTTGCGACAGATATCGCGATACGACTTTGGTAACACGTCGGAATACGAATTCGCGCTTTCACGCAGAGATACGGGGCACGGAAGATTCTCGCGAAATTTATTAGCTCTTTAAATTTTAATATCGGGAAAAAGGTGGAAGATCGATGTATCGAGTCGATATAATTATACTATCCAATAAATGTTCACTTCCTATCTAACCTGTAATGTCTATTAAGTGATCCGTGTAGAACATACTTTCGTCAGCTCTAATTCGTGATCGAAATTGCTCTATCACCCTGAATTTCCGAAATTTGCGAGTTTTTCTAAAGACGCGCGATTTTTATTACAACGAAGTATTACGCGAAATATTATATAAGAACATTGGGGGGTAAGTTAGACTAAAAATACAGAGGAAATAAAAATATTTTGATATAGATATATGAACGTGTTATAGAAATTGATTCTATGGACGTACGAATGCAGTTGTAGTTTATAAAGAATGTATAAATTATCAAATTTATCGCTAATAAATTGAAATTGGTAAGCCCTTACCTTACAATTTAAGTTACGATGCCACGTGCCATAGCCAACAGCAACAGTCGATCACACGTCGAGCCACTACGTCCGAACACGGCAGAGAATAACACGTAACTGACGCAGAAAGACATCGTGGAAAATGAACCACGAGCTATGTTTACGTTCGACTCTATCTGCGAACTATGCCTCGCACTGATCACACTCGTGTTTGGCCCGACTTCCGTTCCGTGAATTTCACACGATACTGTAGGCGACCAACTTAATAACAAATTGCTCCAAGCATAAATTTATAATAAAAACGATAAAATCAAGGAGTTATTGGTTATTGTAGAAGAAAAGGAATTTATTCTACTAAAAGAATTACCTGCAATTGGCAGTAACCACGCAGCATCAAAACAAGATTTAAACAACCGTCACGTTATTTTGCAAATGGACCGTCAAAATGGAATAAAATTGGAAAAACTATCAGAAAACTGCCTTCTCAACACTATGTGATCAAAATATCATAATCCATAATCTAAATCCAAAATCTATATACGATATTACGTAATTGCTCAGTATGTTTATACGATTTACACTCTCGTCATTATATTTCACAAATGAACCGTCAAAACGGAATAAAATTGGGAAAACTATCAGAAAACTAGCGTTTAAATGCTATGGTAGCCAAATATCCTAATCCATAATCGAAATCTAGAATTTATAATCAATATTACGTAATTGCGCAGTATATTTATATGATTTACACTCTCGTCGCTTTATTTCACAAATGGACCGTCAAAACCGAATAAAATTGGGAAAACTATTAGAAAACTTGCGTTTCAATATTATGGGAACCAAATATCCTAATCCACAATCGAAATCCAGAATTTATAATCCATATTACGTAATTGCGCAGTATGTTTATATGATTTACACTCTCGTCACTTTATTTCACAAATGGACTGTCAAAACCGAATAAAATTGGGAAAACTATTAGAAAACAAGCGTTTCAATATTATGGGAGCCAAATATCCTAATCCACAATCGAAATCCAGAATTTATAATCCATATTATGTAATTACGCAGTATATTTATATAATTTACACTCCCGTCACTTTATTTCAAAAATAAAACATCAAAATGAAATAAAATTGGGAAAACAATTAGAAAACTAGCATTTCAATATTATGGGAGCCAAATATCCTAATCCAAAATCGAAACCCAAAACTTATAATCCATATTACCTAATTACGCAGTATGTTTATATAATTTTCACTCCTGTCAATTTATTTCACAAATGGACTGTCAAAACCGAATAAAATTGGGAAAACTATTAGAAAACTATCGTTTGAATATTACGGGAGCCAAATATCCTAATCCACAATCGAAATCCAGAATTCATAATGAATATTACGTAATTGCGCAGTATTTTTATATTTTTTCCCCCCCCGCCACTCTTTTTCACAAATGGAACGTCAAAATGAAATAAAATTGGGAAAACTATTAGAAAACTATCGTTTGAATATTACGGGAGCCAAATATCCTAATCCACAATCGAAATCCAGAATTTATAATCCATATTACCTAATTACGCAGTATGTTTATATAATTTTCACTCCTGTCAATTTATTTCACAAATGGACTGTCAAAACCGAATAAAATTGGGAAAACTATTAGAAAACATGCGTTTCAATATTATGGGAGCCAAATATCCTAATCCACAATCGAAATCCAGAATTTATAATGAATATTACGTAATTGCGCAGTATGTTTATATGATTTACACTCCCGCCACTCTTTTTCACAAATGGAACGTCAAAATGAAATAAAATTGGGAAAACTATTAGAAAACTAGCGTTTCAATTTTATGGGAGCCAAATATCCTAATCCACAATCGAAATCCAGAATTTATAATGAATATTACGTAATTGCGCAGTATGTTTATATGATTTACACTCCCGCCACTCTTTTTCACAAATGGAACGTCAAAATGAAATAAAATTGGGAAAACTATTAGAAAACTATCGTTCGAATATTACGGGAGCCAAATATCCCAATCCACAATCGAAATCCAGAATTTATAATCCATATTACGTAATTGCGCAGTATGTTTATATAATTTATACTCCCGCCACTCTTTCTCACGAATGGAACGTCAAAATGAAATAAAATTAGGAAAACTATTAGAAAACTAGCGTTTCAATATTATGGGAGCCAAATATCCTAATCTACAATCGAAATCTAGAATTTATAATCCATATTACGTAATTGCGCAGTATGTTTATATAATTTACATTCCTGTCACTCTTTTCCACAAATGAACCACCAAAATAAAATAAAATTGGAAAAACTATTTTAAAATTGGCTTTTCGACACTATGTAACATAAATATCCTCATCTACAATCGAAATGTAGAATTTATAATCGATACTAGGTTACTACGTAATATGTTTATATGATTTGTACGCACACCACTTTATTTTACACAAGGCACATCAAACTGCATGAAAAATTGATAGAACTATTAAAAATTTCTCTTTTCGGAGCTGTGTTAACTAAAAATTGTAACAAGCACTCCGAATCTAAAATCTATAATGAATATTGTAATGTATTATTTTGTTTATACACTCACTTCGTTGTAACCTCACTTTGTTTCACATGTAATGTTACTATCGAATAAATATTGGCACTTAGATATTTCGATCTTGGTAAAGTTCCCTCAATTTCTTAAACTTGCACTGTATTTCATTCGTTAATATTACGACAACGTTGCGAACGTAACCTACATTTACATTGTCACAAAACAATAATTTATCTACGTATTAGTGTTCGTATGCAATACATATTCGTTCGTATGTAATGTATATATACTATATATTTCGTCAGTTACCCCAATTGAAACATCAATCACCGACAGCACTACTTCGCGAAACGTTTTGTGTACCGATTGAAAGTTTCCTTTGATGCACGTAAACATTCCGCCATTTGTTAGCGGTATGTTCGTTTTGGCGGCAACTTGTAGTTCGGCGGTTGGCCAAGCTATGCGTTGGCATCGCGGGAAAATTCTTCATCTTTGAAATAGCCATATGCTAAAGTATCGTAGAAAATCAAACGACATCTCTTATCTTACTAATAACGAAAAAGTAAATAGAAATACATTTCTGTTTCAAAAATAACAAATTAAAAAGTGCTTAACCTTCGCAATAAAAGCGTTCAAAATTAATATAATTAAAATCAACATAGAAGCTTTTAATAACAAAAAGAAACTCATAGAAAGAAACTAGTTTTGAGATCTAATATAACATTTTAATTAAATTTTTAATCAATCACCGAATTTTCTTTTAGCTATCAGTGGAAGTAAAAATGCAATAATCTGCTAACCTTTAACCCTTTGCGCTGGAAAAACTCCCTTCAGTCACCATTTGATAAAATTTCAAAGATCGATACTCATCAATATACCAAATTTAAGATAATGTAACGGTGTGCGAGGTATCGAAATCGCATAATTCTGTATGTTAATTATTATACGAATTCTTATCTACTGCTCCAAAAAATATCGTCAGTTTTATAGCAGAAAATCTTTGAACTCCTGCTCTTGTTTAGCTAAAAAATCGTCGAGTGTAAAGGGTAAAATCGAGCAAAGTTTGATTCTCTACGCGTAGCCACTTCCACGCAATGAGACTTGGTAATTGGTATCGTTTTCCAGAGAATAACTTTTGTTAAACGATACCGAGCAAAGAGCTACACTTCAAGTTTAAGAAATTTTCTATACATTGTAAATTTTCAAAGTTCCTTTCGAACTTTGTTAAGTTCTCGAAATTCTTTAGCAAAATTGTATTCTTTTTTTTGCGTGTGTAAACGATATACATAGACGATATAGAGGTAGTGAAAAGAAAATAGGAAGGTTGAATAGTAGAATTTTTTGAATGGCATTTTTGCAACGACGTTTCTTCCAGCCGCTTACAATTTATAATCGTATCAGAAGGGTGGAGAAAACGTACCGGTTTGCGTAACTCCGCCTCGTCCACGCAGTGTTTTGCCGGCAGCTTTACATCTGAAAGATAAAAAGGCGGAATCGCAGATCGGCCAGAGATGCACGTGTCGATTAAGCGTACCGCGCGTACACGCGTATATTCGAAATGATAATCCACGGTTTCTTAATATCGCCGAGAGACGACGTAGCTCTTTCCATTTCATTCAGTCGCGATCGAAACATTGTCCAAGTGTGCAATAATCGCAGCGACGTCTTTCAAGTTTCTTCTCGAGCATCCAACTGATTAAAACTCCGCTCTTAGTCCGAGTTTCCTGCACGGAGTTGCACGACCCTCGAGAAACGCTTGCCCTTTCCAGGCCAAAGTACATTGCCCGGGAATAATTTTACATTTCAAACGTTCGCAAAGATGCGCAAGTAATTAGAAAGGGAACTTGATATTCGCGGGAAAGGGTGGAAAAAACGAACGGGGGAAAAAGAAACAGCTGGCCTGAGATGATTTTATCGCGTTAACCCCCGCGTGAAACAGACGATTAATCGACTAGTGTAAAAAAGGAAAAGACAAGGGAAAAGAAAGCATTATGCCGAGTTGTTAATTGATTTTTCTTCCGACCAAGCCGCGTTGCGAGCTTTTTAATAGTCATCGAGCGGAAAACGAACAAACCCATGGCGGAAATTCTTGCGAAAACTGCGTATCCGTCTACCGTGTCGAACGCGAAATTTCCTCGGCGAGATTTTCCCATAGGGGAATATTTAACGGGCTAATGAGCGCGTCGGGGATGCAACTAAAATCGCTTAGAAAATGGTCGCTTTCGTCGAGGCAAATTTTAGCCAGCCGAAAAACGCGTTATTTACGCTCCGCGTGGCGACTATTGTTTTCGCGTAATAAAAATGCATGCCTGCCGACAATGCGTAAAGTGTTACTAATACGAAGAATATATCGAATGTAACGCTCGTACTTTTGTTTGTCGTTATGGTCGCATACCACTGGCTACAGTTTTTCACCCTTATTAAAGCTTTTACCGTCGAATTCCGCCGTTCGCAAAGAGAGGGAAAAAAATAATAGAAATAATATTTGCATTTAAAACGTTTCGTTCTAATTATCCTCTTTTCAACATTTCACCGGAGATTTTTTCCCCCGAGGAATCGTATCCGTTCACCGACAGTCGCATGTTAGTGGAAAATAACGAAGGGAAGAAGCAGGGCGAGAAGGGAGGCAAAGCGTTACAAGTGTTTCACATGGCTCGGCGAATAACTACGCAAAACGATAATATCTCGTAGCGTTGCGTGCTTCTGAATATTAATTCGCCTACTCGTACAGACTATTATCCGTTCGAAGCGGTTCCGGAACTCGGAGCAACGAAAATTATATTCCAGCGAAACGTTACGAAGTGCTCGAGCGACTAGACACGAGGCGCGCGTGTAATTCATTTCGCTCGTTCATTATGGATTTTAATACCGATCGTGCGTCGGCAGAGGCCATCATAAATTAAAGCCTGTCAGACGACAGTCGACCGAAACGAATGAACCCGCGGAACGCGACGCGAGCGGACAGAATCCGAGATCGGAATTTTTTCCCGATCGGCCTCCTCTCTCGATTCTCCGGCATACAGAGATCGATAGACCCCGCGGGCACGAGGCAATTTTCATCGACAGTTCTCCACCGCCACCTTTTGTCCGCGCGTATGCCCGCACGCGCTCACGCGTGCTTCATTAGAATGCATAATTTGCCGCGCGCGTCGCCTTTGAAATATCCGATTAGGCGCCACTGCGATCGCTTTTATCCCAAATTACGCATTCCAGCCTCAAACGGCAAAACTTTGCGCGACCGACAAGAGCCGGGGAAGATAAGTGCTGAGAATTTCGTTAGGACCCGGAGCAGCTGGAAATTCCGAGTTATGCAACAGCACCGCGACGAAACTCGGCACCCTGGACTCGTAACCCACGCGTGTACTCGCTCGCGAGTTGTCGACGAGAGCATGCGAGGAGAGGCCATTAAGAGGTGGCACCGGCTACTTTTCCCGTCGTTTCTTCGCGATACCGCCGTCTGGCAAACGTATTACCCCTCCCTTTAATTACACGCGTTACGTACGCTCGTTAATTAGGCTCCCCTCGAGAATTAGAAAACCGGCCGAGGGTTGCACGCGAGCGATCGCGAGCGGTAACTGCTCGTGCCACGCGATATTTTTGCGAAACGAGACTTTCGTGATTTCGATGGACGCGTTGTATCGTCGAGGGCTGCACGATCTCCTCTGTAATTCCGCCATGTAAATGCCGACTCGCGATACCTCTGAGGCGTCTCGTTACGTCCTTTTACAGTTTTCCACGGGTCGATCTTGAATAAATACATACAGATGCCAAGACGCGGCCGCGTTCGCTTCCATATTTAAAGTACCGTGTATCGCGGTATGGCCAACAAATTCAAGTGCATACTCCTCCGCGAGAGGACCAGCAACAACGAGAATGGGATCAGGCTTCCAGCGACTTATCTCGTCACGGTCATATAACGATGAAACAAAGATAAACCAGCTAGGGGAATTTTTCTAGTTACTTATCCGTGTTCCCGGTGTCCATTACAGGGGTCTCGTCGTCAATCTTGACCTTCGCTTCGATTACCACGCGTATATGATCGACCGAGTTCTATAAAATGCCTCGAAAATGTAAACAAATAAACCTGTGTGGGGGGTGCTTCCCTCGCTGTTGTTGAAATCGACTGATCGCTGGTATCCTCGATAGGAGGGACGAAAGGAAAAGGAAGGAACGCGTTTCGTCCTGGGCTTTCAGTCTGCCACCTAGCAGACTCTGCCTCATAGACGGAGGATACCTAGGAGAGTTTGGAAATTCTATATATAGGAAACCAAGAGTTTTAACCGAGAAAGTCCTCGACCTTTTTCAAGTAGGAATCCATCTATTGGCGAAGGTGAGAATAATACCGCTACAAACGTAAGAATTTATCCGAATAAACCTATTTTCCATTCATCTCTCGCATAAATCCGGAATGTACCGCGTAGACGAACCCAAAGGAACCCGAGGTGCATATAAACCCCGAACCCAAATGAACGAAGAACGCGAATGAACGAGGGAAAAGGCTCTGGCGGATCGACGCGACTGTGTATAACGAAATGAAAAGCGTCTCATTCGGAAAACCGGTCCGTGGAGGTGCGAGGAAAAGCGTGCGAGATCTGGCAGATATTCCGGATAAACGAATTCTGAGGAGAAATATCCGCATAAACGAGAATATTAATAATTTCACAGGCGAGTCGCGATAAATCTCGGATAAAGAAGCCAGAACTTTATCGTGGAAATCGTAAGCGAGGAGACGCTTGGATTTGAGCGTATATCATAACCCGGGCCGGGAAAAAACTTTACCACCCATTGCTAGGAAATATAGCGCCCCATGGTACAACGAGAATCCTGTGGTGAGCGGCATGGCGGTCTCGCTGGTCCATATAACTACTTGTTATACCATGCAAGCAACCGTGATAAAATACAGAGAGGATCGTTAAAATGTTCCCCTGTATATCCACCAGAGAATATACTTGTTCTCTTTTCCCGGGAACAATACAAAAAGTTGTCCCAAGTCGAACGGTGAACACAGGCTGGTTGGTAACTGGTGGTCCCCAGCCGACCAGGGTTCGAGGGTTTGAATCTACGCGAAAAATAAGTCGAAAATATACAACGACGTTATTCGAGACCTCGTTTTCTGGAAAATAAACTTCAAATATTCTTCGAATGTGCACGCACTCGTCTATGCTCCTCTTACTTTTGCAAATCGCGATTTAATTATTAAATAAATTTATTCGTATCGTTGAATATTCCGCTGGATACCTAATTTTCCTTTCCCAACTAAATTACCTCGAATTTTTTCCAGTGTGTTTTATACCTTTAATTTATCAAACGTTGATTTAATTTCTCGCTTCAGTTATTCCACGTTTCGAACTTCTTTCGAGAAGTTACGAGGACGTAAGTTAAAAACTGTCGACGTAAAAGTTCATTTCTCACAAACGGAGACTCGCACGAAAAAATGTCATTCCACGTTCCCCACGTATCTTTTGACGCGAATTCGGGTCGTTCCACCCTGTACACACGGTAGATGGAAAAGTTTTATGCCTCGGGTTCGCGATGCGTCGCGGGAAACAGCGTAAATCTACGTACACGTGTACGATTGGAAAGATCGAATCGCGTAGGACATCGGATTCAAAGGGATCGACTCTGATCGTCCAACTCGCGAGTCGGAATCACGCGTGTCGCTCGCACCGCGACAAGCGTTTACCCGCTTTCTCTCCCCGTGAACTTGAAATCGAATTACACGCGCTCACGCACACGAGCAATTCGCTCTTACGCAATTCCCCGTAATTCCAGACGCGCGAATGCGGGCCGACCGACAGCGGAACCAAGACCGTGAAATCTGCGGAACCTACACCACTGCACGTCCGCGACCACCTTGCGATCGCATTGTCTTCCCTGCGTGTCCCAAGGACTCGCGTTTTCCGCAACGTTCGTCGACTTTTATTCCCTGGAATTTCAGAATGACCACCTCGCGGCTTCTTCTTCGCCACGGCGGTCAACGATTCGGGGGTACCGCTGCGAGGACGAAATTTTCGACCCCCTCCCGCCTAGAATCCACCGGAAACTTCTTTTCCGTGGTACCGTGGGCCAACGAGCTGAGACAAGGATCGTAACGAAGTTAAATCTACTGGACTTCGGGCAAGTTCGGACTCGGACTCGATTAGTTTATCGACGCGCGAGCTCTAATTAACGAATTGCTTACCGCGAGGCCGGGTAGCAGCGAAATCGAACGAGAGGCGTCGGAAGAGGTAAGGGAAATAGATGAAACGGATGAAATTGGGAATATCGTCGGAGATGCTTCCCGAGCCCCCGCCATTAATATATACGCCGATAATCCGTTTGAACTGGAAAGTATCCTCGAGGTAACGATAAAACACGGTTCCCGTGGAGTAGGAAATTTTCCGGCGTAATGCGGGTTCAATTTTACGCGATAAATTTCTACATTCGGCCGTGATTTACGTTATTCGTTTCGCTGCAAGTTATGGCACCCGATG